GGGTTCGAGACCCGCCTAGGCAACTTGGCGAGACCTCATCTCTACAATAAATCAAAAACTTAGCCGGGTGTGGTAGGGCGCGCCTGTAGTTCCGGCTACTTGGAAGGCTGAGGCGGAAGGATCGCCGGAGCCCAGCGGCTCAAGGCGACAGAGGAGACTCCAACTCAAAAAAAGAGAAAAGTTTATAAAAATAATTGCCTACATTTTCTTCTATGACATTTATGGTTTCATTTTTAAAATACAAGCTGGGTGCAGTGGCTCACACCTGTAATCTCAGCATTTTGGGAAGTGGAGGTGAGAGGATTGCCTGAGCCCAAGAGTTCAAGACCAGCCTGAGCAATTTGGTGAGACCTCGTCTATATAATAAATTAAAACATCAGCCAGGCACGGTGACATGTACCTGTAGTTCCAGCTACTTGGAAGGTTGAGGTGAAAGGATCACCTAAGCCCAGCAGGTCCAGATTGTAGAGGCTGTGAGCTTGCCACTGCACTCCAGCCTGGGTGACAGAGTGAGACTCCAACTCAGTAAAATAAGATATCAAGTTTCTTTTTATTTATTTTATTAATTTTTTTGGAGACAGGGTCTTACTCTGTTACCCAGGCTGGAATATAGTGACATGATCATAGCGTACTGCAACTTTGAATTCCTGGGTTCACGTGATCTTCCTGCCTTACCATCCCAAGTAGCTGGGACTATAGGCACACACCACCACCGTGCCTGATATATCTATATTCATATCTATATTTACACACACACATATATATATGTGCAAAGTCATATAATATATAATATATAATTGTAATAATATGATATATAATATATATGACATTACATAATATATATGACATTTTTATTGTATATTATATATGCATGACATTATATATATATATATATATATATTTTTTTTTCCCCAGTAGAGATGAGGTCTTACGATGTTACCCAGGCTAGTCTTGAACTCATGACCTCAAGTGATCTTCCTGCCTCAGCCTCCCAAAGTGCTAGAATGACAGATGTGAGCCACTATTCCCTGCCTTCAAGAGTCTAAACTATATAGAATTCTGAAAAAGATATGAGAAAAGGATTTAAAATAGTTTTAAACAAATGGTTTACCAGGTATTGGAATGTTTTATTGAATATTCCATACTTTTCCAACTAATTTGAAGTACCATCTTAATCATTAACCAAATTCTTATATATGCTTAATTCTATTTTTGGTCCATTTCATTTGATTCTGGCCCAAATACACCATACCACTGAAATTACTGTTGCTTTAAAATAAATTTGAGTATCTGCAAGATAGTGTCTTTCAAACATTCTCTCACATTTGTATTTCAAGATGCTTCCCCCACCAAAAAAACCCACATTTAATTATATGCTTATAGAAAAAAGAAGCAATAAAGTAGAATCTCTTACTGTAGAAGTTTCCAGCTTCTACCAAAATATATACACATGTGTTCAACAGATTTGTTTTAAACTTACTCCAGTTGCCACTCGAACATTTCCTGATAGGGGTCGTATTCCAGAAGGAGGCCTTCCTGTCAGTCCAACTCCACCTCGTGATATGGGGCGAGTTGCTGGAGATTTGTGATTACTGGCCATTATTTGTTCGCTTGAATCACTGTTTGGAAACAATAAATAGTTCAATTCTCCTTTGATGTCTTCTATGGCGAAACACTAGTGAGCCATTATACCCTTAACTCAAACACTCAATTCACAATAATTCTCCTTGCAAACTGGCATTCCAGGTACCATACGAGACCAAACCTGCTTCAATTTTGTTCAGATTTGACATTAATGTTCCACTTGGAACTATGAGACAGTTTATTACAACATGCCCTCATCTCCCCATTATCTTACCAAAATGCAAGCCTTTCTAGTTACCTCTTCTGTATTCTCAAACTGTATTCTGGTAAGTTTTCATTCCCCTGATATATCCAGCATATTTCTTCTCTCTCATGCTTTTCTCCGTGCCCTCTGGTCCATAATAAACTCTCTTATATTCTCAATCTTGTTACAAATACTTCCTATTACTCTTAACTTTAACAGAATCTTGGCTTCCCCTAAAGGTAACACTTTCAGTAGTGAAGGTTGTTTTAGCCTACTGTCTCACAATTTTAAAGCTAAGGAAGTCCTTGCTCCCCAGTGCCACTTTTAAAACATTATTCTTCCATGCCTTTAGAAAAATAAACAGAGCTGGGTATGGTGGCTCATGCCTGTAATCCCAGCACTTTGGGAGGCCAAGGCCAGTAGATTGCTTAAGCCCAGGAACTTGAAACCAGCCTGGGCAACAGAGCGAAACCTGTCTCTATAAAAACTAAAAAAAAAGTAGCTGGGAGTAAGTGTCCCTGTAGTCCCAGCTACTCAGTATGCTGAGGTAGAAAGATCGCCTGAGCCCAGATCGAGGCTGCTATGAGCTGTGATCACCATGATCATACCACTGCACTCCAACCTAGGTGAGAGAGTGAGACCCCAACTCAAAATATTAATTAATTAAATTAATTAAACAGAATTTGCTTCCTTTGAGAATCAGGGAATGCAGCCATACTGCCATGATCTTTTCTGGGTGCTGCTAACAAGCAACCTCCTTATCTCTCTCCCATCTTTACTGAAGTCTTTTGTACCTGGTTCAGAGCTTCTCTTTCCAATCTCATCATCATTCTGGATGGACTCCATTTGGATATTAAAACTAATACCTGACATTCTAGCTTCATAGTTCCCTGACCTCAATTTTAGTAACTATCTTAAGTCCATTTTAGTCATTCATAGCCATGGCCAAACATGGAGCTTGTCATCATCAGGAATTGCTTCATCTCAAACATTTTAATTGAAATGCTCTATTTTCAGACCATAATCTAATCTCTTTCTACCCTTTTTCTTTATTCCCACTATATTTGCCCTTAAACTATCTCTTTAATTCACCCATTCTCTTCCAGTTTATCAGCCCCCTCCTTTATTTATCAGAATATAGTATTATTTAAAATTCAACCGATAATTTAGGTAGTAGTTTTCAAATTGCTAGTGGGTTGTAAAGATAATTTGGCAGATTAGAACCAATATGCTCTAAACATGACATAAGATAGAAAAAAATAAAAGAATTCACTGAACAAAGGAAGGTAAATATTATTTAATTAAATTTTTGCTTCAGTTATATTTATATAAATTTACACATACATGCGTACTGAACTATAATATAAAAATGTATGTCCTAGGCCAAGTGGGGTTGGCCTGTAATCCCAGCACTTTGGGAGGCCGAGGCAAGAGGACTGCCTGAACTCAGGGGTTCAAGACCAGCCTGGGCAATTTGATAAGACCTTGTCTCTACAATAAAAAAAAATAAGTTGAGTATGGTAGTGCACACTTGTAGTTCCAGCTACTTGGAAGGCTGAGGCAGAAGAATCGCCTAAGCCCAGCTGGTCGAGGCTGCAGTGGTTGTGAATATGACACTACACTCCAGCCTGGGTGACAGAGTGAGACCCCAACTCAAAAAAAATTTTTGTCCTACTGTAGGTCGTGTAAGAGTTATGAAGATATTCATTTGAGAGAGCATACAGAGAAAATGAAAATAGTACCCAAGACTCTGTCCTGAGGAATAAGGAATGTCTATACATATAGGGCACATAGAAGATGAGACACTAGGTTAAGAGACTGAAAATAAAGACCCAGAAAGAAAAGAGAAAAACCAGGAATGTTTATGTTAGGGATGCTAAGAGAAGGCAGGAATGATCAGCCATGTCATTTAATGCTAGGAATTCAAGTAAGATAAAACTGAAATGTCCAAAGAGGTCCCTCCCCATCTTAGAAGTCACTAGTGACCTTGACAAGGCAGTCTCAAGGACTCTCTTCCTTCCCTACATGAAACTACTATCTCACAGACACCATCAACTAATTTGTATCCTTGAACTCTTCTCCAATTCAGCTGGCAAAATCAGAATCCTTCTCTATATCCAACCCAGATTGCTGAACATTGCTGGTGGAAATCACCCAGTTGTATAGACTGGAGAACTCCAAAGTGATAGTCACTAATCTCAGCTGGATTCACATTTCAGAAATTATTTTCCTTATCCTTGTTAGTATACTCTTCTCCTTGATAATTCTTACCCTTGGCCACATTTCTACCTATCGAACCTCTCAGCAGATGACTCTCAGAAAATTAGGACTTGAATTCTATCACCTTTGGAGCACTCAAACTTACCTCACACATCCTGTCCTTCAAGTTCAACAGCAAGCAATCCCTTCTCTCGCTCAAGATCAACCTCTACTCTACTTACCCTCTTGATCCCATCTCCTTTGGGGCATTGTCCTGACTCCTGCCAATATCTTTAAACTTTCTCTTTTCTTTGTGTTACCATGTTCAATTTTTTCCTAACTTCAGAAGCTAATTTCTTGATCTTGCAACCATCTCTAAATCTGTCCCACATATCCTTTCCTTATGCAACCAAATTCTTTTCTTTTTTTTTTTTTGGTGAGTCGGAGTCTCACTCTCTTGCCCAGGCTGGAGTGCATTGGCACGCTCACAGCCACCACAGTCTCCATCTGCTGGGCTTAGGCCATCCTTCCAAGTAGCTGAAACTACAGACGTGTGCCACCACATCCAGCTTATTTTTTTTTGAGTCAGAGTCTCACTCTGTCGCCCAGGCTGGGGTGCAGTGGCATGCTCATGGCCACCCCAGTGTTGACCTGCTGGGCTCCGGTGATCCTTCCGCATCCGCCTTCCGAGTAGCCGGAACTACAGGTGTGCTACCATGCCCAGCTAATTATTTTATTTTATTTTATTTTAATTTTTTTTTTTTGAGTTGGAGTCTCACTCTGTCGCCCAGACTGGAGTGCAGTGGCCGCTCCCGGCCACCGCAGCCTCGACCCGCTGGGCTCCGGCGATCCTTCCGCCTCAGCCTTCCGAGTAGCCAGAATTACAGGCATGCACCACCACGCCCGGCTGATTTTCTGATTTATTGTAGAGATGAGGTCTCGCTGCCCAGGCGGGTCTCGAACCCGCGGACTCAGGCAATTCACTCACCTCAGCCTCCCAAAGGCGCGGGATTACAGGCTGAGCCACCAAGCCCGGCTAATTATTTTAAATTTATTGTAGAGACAAGGTCTTGCCAAGTTGCCCGGGTTGGTCTCAAACCCATGGGCTTAGGCAAATTGACTCGCCTCGGCCTCCCAAATTGCTGGGATCACAGGCTGAGTCACTGAGCCCAGCCCCCAGCTAATTTTTTTATTTATTGTAGAGATGAAGTCTCATCATGTTGCCCAGGCTGGTCTGGAACCCTCGGGCTCAGGCAGTCCTCTCGCCTCTGCCTCCCAAAGTGCTGAGATTACAAGCATGAGCCACTGCAAACAGCTGCAACCAAATTCTTAAGAGTAACTTATATCCACTATTCTCTACTTCTTCAATTTCTACCACCTCCTGGACTGTTCCATCCAAATGACTTGCCAATACTGTCATGGATGTAAATGTCATCCTATTGTCACTGGTCTCTCTAAGGTGAAACCATCTCCATGACACTTCCATCTTCTGGTTGGTTGGTTTGTTTGTTTTCGGTCTCCCTGTTCTGTCCTTAAATAGCAGCATTCCCTAAGATAACATACACAGTCTATTTTTCTTTTCTCTCTCTAAGCTTTCCTTAGGCTATCGTATTCACTGAGTTTTAACAATTAGTAAGCTGATGACTCAGAACTCTGTATTTCCAGTCCCACCTTTCACACTCAGTTTGAGGTGTTTATATCCAAATAATTACTTAACATCTCCACCTAAATAGTCTAAGTATTTCAGAATAAACATATGTAATCCAAACTCATTATTAGCTCCCCCAAATTTATCCTTCCTCTTAATACTATCTCCTAATCACACAAGTCAGAAACCTAGTACTTAATTTCTCCCTCTCCTTCACTTCCCGTGGTTGATCACAAAGTCCTACTGAGTTTTGTTTGGGTTTTGCCGTTGTTGTTGGCCTACTGATTTTGATCCTAAATATTAAACAGGTATCTTCCTCTCCATCCTTACAGTACTGGACAATTCAGGACATCCTCTCAAGTGGATTATTATACCAGCTATTTAAGTGGACCCTTTGGGCTGGGCTCGGTGGCTCAGCGGCTCAGCCTGTAATCCCACGCTTTGGGAGGTCGAGGTGAGCGGATTGCCTGAGCCTGCGGGTTTGAGACCCGCCTGGGCAACTTGGCGAGTTCTCATGTCTACAATAAGTCAAAAATTAGCCGGGCGTGGTAGCGCGCGCCTGTAATTCCGGCTACTTGGAAGGCTGAGGCGGAAGGATCACCGGAGCCCAGCAGGTTGAGGCTGCGGTGGCTGGAGCGGCCACCGCACTCCAGTCTGGGTGACAGAGTGAGATTCCGACTCAAAAAATAAAAATAAAAGATAAGTGGACCCTCTGCCTAACAAACATCTTGCCTGTTACTCTCTCTAGGATCCTTCTATGACCAGTCATCATCACCTTCACTTTCTTCAATTTGAGTTTACAGGCCTGTTCTATATGCCACCACACATTCTGGTCTTATCTTTATTCTAGTACCTATCACCAATTGAAATGATCTGTTAAAGTATTTTATCTCCCTTGATGATTTTATTCATCTTTATATCCTCAGCTGCTGTCGCAGTGACAGGAAGAAACCTTCTGTTCTCTTTTGTACCTTTTGAATTTCCTCTCAGAGGAAGGCATTGCCAATTACAAAAATTTACTGAATCGTCAAAACAAAAGGCATTTGTTGAAGTAAAATGGTTTCTCTGTTTCTACATCCTGTGTCTAGTATTAATTCTCTAGTTTTTCCTAGCATTTATCTATGACTAGTCCTTAGATTATGTCTATTCTTTCTACAATCTTGCATCCTTATAACTCCAACCATGCAGATGATTCATCAATTGGTGTGTACAGTTTTGTTCTTTACTACTGCGCATCAATTCTGAATTTCCAATTGTTTATTTGAAATTTCCACTCAAGCCGGGCTCGGTGGCTCAGCCTGTAATCCCACGTCTTTGGGAGGCTGAGGTGAGTAGGATTGCCTGAGCCCGCGGGTTCGAGACCACCTGGGCAACTTGGTGAGACCTCATCTCTACAATAAATCAAAAATTAGCCGGGCGTGGTAGTACGCGCCTGTAGTTCCAGCTACTTGGAAGGCTGATGCGGAAAGATCACCGGAGCCCAACAAGTCGAGGCTGCGGTGGCCGGGAGTGGCCACTGCACTCCAGTCTGGGCGACAGAGTGAGACTCCAACTCAAAAAAAAAAAAAAAAGAAATTTCCATTCAGTTATCCCATTATCACTTCCTTTTAAAATGCTCACACCAAACTTACAATCTTCCCATCCCAGACAGTTCCCTGATTCTATTTCCCTGCAGTTTTGAACTCTGCAGACAAAGCAAAAGAATTATTTCAAACAGAAAAGGGAGTTATATGAAATGGCTTTTTGAAAGGAAAACAGGATCTATGATCAAAACGGCTTCTTCAAAATGAAAACTAGTACAGTAAATATCTCTTGCCAGTGGAATTAGTCACTGTCACTCTAGTGTTCCTGATAACTTTGAGAAAATGTACAATATACAGAAATTCTACCCAATTTTCTTTTCCATTGCTTTCCTGTAGTGGAAAAAGCTTACCATTTCATGAGTCAATGAAGATAAGAGAGGGAAGAGGAGGGGAATTAGTAACAAACATGCCACTAACTCTGGGTTGTTTAATCAAAGATTCACACAGAGAGGCAGCCTGGCCTTTGATCTCAAAAAGATTAGCTACACGAATTCTAGCTCTGACAGTTACCAGCAGTATAATCTTGGCACCATACCTAACCCCTGAGGATGTCTCATCATCTGAAAAATAAAACTGTGGCAAAGAGCCCCACCTTGCAGAGCTGCAGTAAAGATTCAGGTATTATATATAAAACACTTGGCTCCTAATTTTTATTGCTATCATTATCCTCCCTAAACCAACCATTCTCATAAATGTGAAGAGTTGCTAAATTCCCCCACCGTGCTGGGCAGACAGAAGAAGCAAGTCCTTTCCACTGTCACCAACAGACAGAAATATATTGCTTTCAGTAAAATCCTTCAGCCCCTAGTGATTTTTCTCTCTGAGGTTCTTGAATCCTTCCTTCTGGTCTCGGCCAAGGCGGGGCTACAGGCCCGAAGGTAACAGCTGAGCGCCCAAGAGTTCCAACTTGTTTTGTTTGGAGCAGATGAGCATCTCCAGGGCAAGAGGCTGGGCGCAGGAGGAAGAGAGGGAGGAAGAGACCTGACCTAGAATTTCTCACCTCCGCGGGCGCGGAAGGAGGACAGTCGCACGGCTTGGGGGATGCTCGAACTTCTTTCCGAGGGCCGCGCGAACCCCGTCCGCTCACTCGAGGTCCGGGAATCACGCAAGGACAGCTTTCCTCCGCCTTCAGGCCCAAGTACCGGCGATCGCACGCCGCCGCGTCTCCCGGCAACGGGGGCGGGACTGGCGGAGGTTCCGCCTCCTGATTGGCCAACCCTCTGCCTCCTCTCGTGTACTTACGAGCGGAGCAAGAGCAAAATGATCTCGCGAGATTGGAAGACTAACTTTTGTTTGCTTCTTACTACTACTTCAGTGCTTTTCTAGAAGAGATGGGATACGGCGGGTTGGCCAGAAGACTGAAGGGAACATTTTATCTGCGCCTGTGGTTTTATTCACAGTGAGGACGACCTCTGTTTACCTCTAGCAAGTTTTGCTGTAGCGCTGTATGACCTCACGCCTGCTCCTTGTTTTGTGTGACGTCGTTGCGGGCTGGGCAGCGTGGTATGGTTTCTTTGCTACGAATTAGCGGTAGTTTCTTTCCGTTAGGACTGCAGAGCGGCCTCGAGACCGCACCAAGGGCGATGCGACTCGCCGCCATCTGGTGTGTTCCTTCTTGTGTTATTGGAAGCCTTGCGTCTTTTAAGATTCCTTTCATCAGCTCTTTTGACTCAAGTTTGTGAGCAAGGCTGGGTGGCAGTTAAATGGAACGTATTCTTAAAATATAGATTGTTTTGGTTTGTTGGAGTCGGAGTCTTGCTCTGTCGTCCAGGCTGGAGTGCAGTGGCACGCACACAGACCTGCAGCCTCGACCTGCAGGTTGTCCTTCCACTCGAGCTTTCAAGGTAGCTGGAATCATAGGCGCGCGCTACCGTGCCCGCTAAATTTTTTGATTTATTGTAGAGACGAGGTCTCGCCAAGTGGCCCAGGCTGGTCTTGAACCCCTGGGCTCAGGCAGTCCTGTCGTCTCTGCCTCCCAAAGTGCTGGGATTACAGGCGTGAGCCACTGCGCCCAGCAAAGTAGTTTTTTAAAAAAGTGTAGGCACTACTTCACCTCAAACCTCCTCTGACAAAATAACTTATAGTTGCTATTTCCCTCCAGTCTTCATGTAAAGAGGGAGCTTAAGTGTGATTACATACTTATTGGGATTTTAACATTATTTGACACATTGTTTACAATTTACATATGGTATTTATATCCAGATTTAGTGTCTTATATGCGTGCTTTTTTTTTTTTGAGTTGGAGTCTCACTCCATTGCCCAGGCTAGAGGGCAGTGGCACACCGGCTTACGGCCACCCCAGCATTGACCTTCTGGGCTCCGGCAATCCTTCCACCTCAGCCTTCCAAGTAGTCAGAACTACAAATGTGCGCTACCATGCCCAGCTATTTTTTTATTTTATTTTATTGTAGAGAGGAGGTCTTGCCAAGTTGCCTGGTCTGGTCACAAACCTGCAGGCTCAGGCAATCCACTCTCCTCTGCCTCCCAAAGTGCTGGGATTATAGGCTGAGCCACCAAGCCTGGCTATATGCCTACTTTCAAGGAGGAAAAATTACAAAATAAAATAATGTCATGTGGCTGAGTTCTTTAAAATTTGTGAAACATTTTCATGTAATTATGTCATTTGAGCCTATTTGCAATGGTCATGTGTCATCCTTTTGGCCATTTTGTAGATAAACAAATGGGCAAAGTTTCTCCTTTACCCTGCACCTCCAACACCCCTATAAGAACTGAAAGTGACTGACTGATACTGGCTTCCCTAGTTCCTAATGGGACGTGAGCATATTGCTTGTGAACTGCCCTATCTAATCTAATGCACCCAACACAAAGTTGAATAGCAGCCAGAAGCAGGGCCCCGCCTGGGGGTCACACTGTAATCCCAGTACTTTGGGAGGACAAGCCCGGAGGATTGCTTGAGGCCAGGAGTTTAAGACCAGCTTGAGCAACACAGTGAGATTCTGTCTGTACAAAAAAAAATTAAAATTAAAAAATCATCTGGGCATTGTGTGTGCCTATAGTCTCAGCTACTTGGGAGGCTGAGGTGGGAGGATTGCTTGAACCTCTCTCCACCAAAAAAAAGAAACAGAATTTCAAGGAATCTATTTAAGTCACAGAAACTACTAGTTTCCAAGACTGCAAAGTTTCACCAGCAGCAAGCAGTGTCCAGCATCAGTGTGTTTATGCAAGCCACAGTGTTTGTGTGCAGAGGCTTTAGAACATGAGTTCTATTGTCTGGCTCTCCTCCGCTGCCACCATGCACTTCACCACTCACTCCACCACCTACTCCACCAACTACCGGTCCCTGGGCTCCATCCAGCCACCTTGCCTCCCGCCCACCAGCAGCGTGGCCAGAGTCTATGCAGGTGCTGTGGGCTCCTGGATCTCTGTGTCCTGCACCAGTTTCCATGGCAGCTGGGATCCTGGGGGCCTGGCCACAGGAATGGCCAGGAGTCTGGTGGGCATCCCGGACGAGTACGAGACCATGCAAGAGCTGAATAACTGCCTGGCCTCCTACCTGGAAAGGGTGAGGAACCTGGAGACCAAGAACCAGAGGCTGGAGAGCAAAATCCAGGAATGCTTGGAAAAGAAGGGACCCTGGGTCAGAGACTGGGGACATTTGCTTCAAGACCATCGAGGACCAGAGGGCTCAGATCTTTGCAACTTCTGTGGACAATGCCCTCATCGTTCGGCAGATTGACAACTCCAGTCTTGCTGCTGATGACTTTAGAGTCAAGTATGAACAGAACTGGCCATTTGCCAGTCTGTGGAGAGTGGCACCCATGGGCTCCGCAAGGTCATTGATGACATCAGTGTCACCCGGCTGCAGCTGGAGACAGAGATCTAGGCTGTCAAGGAGGAACTGCTCTTCATGAAGAAGAACCATGAGGAAGAAGTAAAAGGCCTAAAAGCCCAGATTGCCAGCTCTGGGTTGACCGTAGAGGTAGACGCCCCCAAATCTCAGGACCTCAGCAAGATCATGGTGGGCATCAGGATCCAGTATGATGAGCTGGCTCAGAAGAACCAAGAGGAGCTGGACTGGTCCCAGCAGATCAAGGAGAGCACCACAGTGGTCACCATGCAGTCCCCGAGATTGGAGCTGCCGAGATGATGCTCACAGAGTTGAAACATACAGTGCAGTCCTTGGAGATTGACCTGGACTCCATGAGAAACCTGAAGGCCAGCTTGGGGAACAGCCTGAGGGAGGTGGAGGCCTGCTACGCCATAGAGATGGAGCAGCTCAACAGTACCCTGCTGAACCTGGAGTCTGAGCTGGCACAGACCCAGACAGAGGGCCATCGCCAGGCCCAGGAGAACTCCTGCTGAAAATCAAGGTCAAACTGGAGGCTGAGATGGCCACCTACCGCCGCCTGCTGGAAGACGGAGAGGACTTCAGTCTCAGTGATGACCTGAACAGTAGCAGCTCCATCCAGATCATCCAAAAGACCACCCCCCGCAGGATAGTGGATAGCAAATTGGTGTCTGAGACCAGTGACACTAAAGTTATAAGGCGTTGAGACGGTGGGAGCAGGATGCCCTTCAGGGAAGCAGGAAACCAATAAAAAGTTCAGAGGTCAAAAGAAAAAAAAGGAACGGAACTTCTAGCGTGTTTCTTCAGCCTCCTGGAGAGTCTGTGAGCTGCTTGATGTCCTTCAATAAGATTCCTTTTCTGCTTTTAAATAATCCATGGATGATTTCTGTTGCTGGCACTTAAGAACCCGGATAGACATAACAGTTGAAATTGGCAGGACAGATAATTATCCGAGTTTTAAAGAGATTAATTTGCTTAAAATCACTTGGAAACTGGGCACAATTGGTAAACACTTATAATCCCAACACTTGAGGAGGCTCAGGCAGGAGGATTGCTTGAACCCAGGAGTTCAAGACCAGCCCAGGCAACATAGCAAGACTTCATCCCCACAAAAAGTTTAAAAAAATTAACCAAGTGTGATGGCATGTGCCTGCCTGTAGTCTTAGCTAATTGGGAGGCTGATGCAGAGGGATCACCTGAGCCCAGGAGGGTGAGGCTACCATGAGCTGTGATCATGTCACTACTCTCCAGCCTGGGCAACAGAATGAGAACTCGGCTCAAAAACAAAAACAAAAAACAAAACTCGGGTAATAAGTAATGGTCCAATACCCATTTTTTTTCATGATGAAAAAGGAATCGAAATAGAATACATCTTATTAGCCTCTGAACTTCCTCAGAGTAAGCACCATACTTATTTAACTTTGGGTCAATGTGTATTAGGTTCTGTTGTTTTTAAGTTACAGGGAGCTAGGTTATACCAAATTGTATGTTTATTATAAGACTACTTTTGCTTCAAGTTCTTCTGTCTCTAGACCTTTTCTCTATTCTCTCTTCCTGGAATCCTTGTCCCTTTTCTTTTCACTGGTAAAAGTCCTGTTCATCATTCAAGTTTTAACCCAAATTTATTTCTTCAGAGAGATCTTCTCTGGCACTCCATGCTAGATTAGTGCTACAACTCCCCCTGACCCTTCACCCCATTGTATGTCCTCAATGCACCCTGTACTTTTTCCTACTGTTAAAAGATAAACTGAGGCACATGAAAATGTTAAAGTCTGTTTGAGCAGGTAGCAATTCATGAATTGGGCAGCTCCAAATCATAAGTGGTTTGGGGCACTGCCAGAGGTAGTTGAAAGGAAAGCTTTCACAGGTTATGCAAAATTAGAGCCAAAAAAAAAGCATTTGGCTAATGTCTTAGCAATTGCCTTACTTGGACTACTCTAGTAGTAAGTTCAAGACAATATAACTTGTAACCAGTTGGCCACCAGTGATTAACTGAGTTTGTTTCATTTTGCTTTTGTAAGAACCCAGGTCACTAGAGCTACTTCAGTCTAATGTCCTCCCATTTAGTTATTTTATAATACTACATATCACCCATTATATTTTAAACTATATATTTGTGTTGTCAAAGATAAGCTGAACCTGACCCTAAAGAAGTAGACTTTACTCCATTGCTTACTATTGCAATAGGGAAAGAGTCCAGTATTAACTGAACTTAACTTTGATTTGTTCAGAGGTGTTTGGGCATCTAAAAGGGAAAAGAGGCAAGCAGGTATTCCGTAGAATCACAGAGAGT